TGGGCAACGCCGACGACTTGGTCGGATGCACGGGAGTAGCAGCCGACTGTTCACAGTGGGATAGCTGCTCGACAAGTTACGTCGAGCTGCAGCGGACCTCTGTGGTGTTGCTGTCGACCAAGGAGCTTGACAGCTGCAACTGACTAGTCTGTGTGACGGGTGGGCCGTCCGGAAGGTCGACGAAGCAGTCCGTCAACCTACAGTTCGACCGAGAGGTCGACAGAGCAGTTCTGGTCGACGGAAGGGGTCTGTCGACCAGAGGGTAGCTCGACGGGAGTTGTGGTCGACCAGGAGCGCCTGGTGGTCGACCAGAGGGACCCAGTGGTCGACCGGAGGCACCTGGGGGTCGACCAGAGCACCAGGGGTCGACCAGGTCGACCGGGTAACCTGCTCGACGAGTTCTGCGGAGGCTCGCGAACGTCGTCGAGATCGCGATGGCGCAGGCGACTTCGGGCTTGTTGAACAAGAATGAATTGAACTAACAGTGAAATGAGTACAAGTATGAAAACCTAGAAATGTGTACCCCCTATAGGCTAACCCACTGTAGCCTAAACAACTACAACAACATATATAATGTTTGACACACCCCCATAGGCGAAGTGGGGGAGAACAAGGGGTCACAAGACCAGTCAAGTAAAGCAAAGCAAAGCAAAGCAAGCTCATGGTGGATCACAACGTCACCACACAATCCGAGCACAAGTTCAAGGCCACAAGGCCAGTTCACATGCAGGAGTACATATATATATAGGACTAAACAAGCAAGAGCAGTAATATATATATGTAACAGTACAAAGAGGGTCAAGAGAAGAGCAAGTGAGGCAAGACAGACACAAGACCCAGCTGGGTACAGCAACGCTGATGATCACAAGGCGGAAGTGCCTTGGTGAAGACATCAGCAGTGTTGGCCTCAGAGGCCAGGTACGCAAGTCGCAACTGACCACGCTGCTGTAGCTCACGAGCAAGGAAGTAGCGGAGAGCAATGTGCTTTGTTCTGTGCTCCAGTCTCTGCTCTTGACACAAGGCCAGCATGGCCTTGTTGTCAACGTACAGGACTGGAGGAGAACGAGGCGGCTCTCCAAGGTCGGTCAGTAGGTAGGTGAGCCAACAAAGCTACTGAGCAGCCATGGCCCTTGCGTAGATCTCAGCCTCACAACTGGAGCCGAGAACAGAAGACGAGCGAGTAGCCCGCCACGAAACAGAGCCGGAACCAAGGCTGAAGGTGTAACCCTGTGACGACCGCTGCGTAGCCTGGTCGTCAGCCCAAGAAGCGTCTGCATGTCCAGTGAGGACCACTGGACTCCGCCCTCCAAGCACTAGTCCCATGCCCGACGTACTGCACAAGTAGCGCAACACCCTCTTCGCTGCAGCCATGTGCTCTGGTCGGTGTCTACGAGGAGCAACATAGCGTGCAAGAATGCTAAGAGGGTATGCAAGGTCAGGTCGTGTGCAGGTTATCAAGTACATGAGACAGCCAACAAGCTCTGGGTACGGGCCACTCGACTCTACGGACTCATCCGAAGGCAGAGCTGAGAGTGAGTGGCGAGTAGACAGAGGAGTGGCCTGAGGTGAGGAGTACGTGAAGCTGAAGCGCTGAAGGACCTGCTGCACCATGTGTGACTGAGTCAGGGTAATGGTGCGGCGTGCTCTGTCCCGGGTGATCTGCAAGCCAAGGTAGCTGCGCAGTTCACCCAGGTCAGTGCACGTGTGTCTCTTCTGCAGCTCGGACTTCACGTAGGCGAGTCCAGTAGTGTCAGCTGTGGCAAAGACCAAGTCGTCGACGTACACGAGGATGTAGAACGGCGGCAGAGAGGTGTCGGTGCGCAGAAACAGCGACGGGTCGGCAGTAGAAGGAGCAAACCCAAGAGCCGCAAGTGTAGTCCTCAGTGTGTCGTGCCACTCACGTGGCGCCTGGCGGAGACCGTAGACTGGACGCCGGAGACTCCACTGGGTACCAGGAGGGAAAGACCCAGTGAAGCCAGGTGGGCGGCGCAGCCAGATCTCCTCGTGCAGGCTGCCCTGCAAGAAAGCTGTGCTGAAGTCAAGAGAGTGCAGCTCGTAGTCCCGGTGAGCAGCAACGTGCAGCAGTACCCGAAGAGTGGTCATCTTCGGGGTGGGGGAGAAGGTCTGAAAGTAGTCAACTCCCAGCCGCTGACTGAAGCCACGAGCCACGTAACGCGCCTTGAAGACAGGCGGAGAACCCGGCGGCCGCTTCACCCTGAAGATCCACATGCCACTGACGATGTTCGCCCCAGGAGGGGGGACAGCGTCAACGTAGGTGCCTGTGGACTTCCAGGAAGCCATCTCTGCATCCATAGCTGCCTGCCACTGAGAGGAGTAGGGACCCTCTATCGCCTCCGCGTAAGAACGCGGAGTCGGGATGTCAAGTGCATCCGGGTCTCCCTCAGGGGTAAGCAGTACGGACACGAGATGAGGTGAAGCAGCTGCCAGACACTGGAACTCCTCCTGCCTGTCCTCAAGGACGTCCATGCCAAGGGCACATGCACCCCCGACGGACGGAGGACTGACAGACTCAGACTCAGCGACAAGACTAGCAGCGTAGTCTAGGCGACAGCGAGCAGCAAAGTCGACGAGCTCAGCAACTAGGGCAGACGCAGCAGAAGACTCGAAGGAAGGGTCAGTGACGGCAGTAGCAAGGAGACGCGTGACAGTAGGACTGGCAGCACGAAGAGAGTCCGACTCCGGGCCGGCAAGAGCAGGAAGAGAGGACTCGGGAGGAGAAGGCAAAGGGGCACGCAGAGGAGCAGTTGACGGACGTAGAGACATCCCGTGCGTGCCAGGGACAGGAGGAGGACGCTGACGCGAACTACGAGCACTAGTGCTAGCAGGACGGACAGGCGACGCAGGGCGAGACGCAGACTCACGACGCTCAGTAAGACCGCCAGTAGGACCAGTGTAAGGAGAAGGAGCAGGTAGTGGGGAGGCCGGCTGCCACTGTAGCTGTGACGGGACAGGCTGTGGACACACTAAGGGAGGAGGAGGACCTGGAGGAGGCGAGAGACCAAGAACCTGCTGAAGGAGCGGAACGAAGTACGGCTGAGGGCGCGCGGCGACTCCAGACACAGCAGGGACAGCGCCAGTGCCCCCAGCGGCAGTACCAACGCGCGAGCCCGCAGCACCAGCAGGGACTCCAACACCAGGGTCCACAGCACCAGTCGCAGCTCCAACGCCCGGGTCCGCAGCACCAGGAGCAGCTCCAACGCCCGAGTCCTCAGCACCAGCAGCAGCTCCAACGCCCGGGTCCTCAGCACCAGCAGCAGCTCCAACGCCCGGGTCCGCAGCACCAGCAGCAGCTCCAACACCCGGGTCCTCAGCACCAGCAGCAGCTCCAACGCCCGGGTCCGCAGCACCAGCAGCAGCTCCAACACCCGGGTCCTCAGCACTAGCAGTAGCTCCAACGCCCGGGTCCGCAGCACCAGAAGCAGCTCCAACGCCAGGGTCCGCAGCACCAGCAGCAGCTGGGTCCGTGAGACGAGGCGCGCCACTCCGAAGTGTGCAACGACGCTCGTACCACTCACGGATCCGCTCACGAGAGGGGAGCTCCCAACTAGGAGGAGAAGTACCAGCACCAGTCTCCGTAGTGCGCGTGGTCCCAGAGGTACCTCTCCGGAGGCTGCAGCACTGTAAGTACCACTCACGCAATTGCTCCGAGGAGAGGTCTCGTCCAGGTGTAGTACCCTCTGGCCCAGCACCGCCAGAGTCAGAACTCTCAGACCCAGCACCCCCAGGCTCAGCACCCCCAGTCACCGCACCCCCAGGCTCAGCACCCCTAGTCACCGCACCCCCAGGCTCAGCACCCCCAGGCTCAGTACCCCCAGTGTCCGCACCCCCAGGCTCAGCACCCTCAGAGTCTGCACCCCCAGGCTCAGCACCCCCAGAGTCCGCACCCCCAGGCTCAGCACCCCCAGCAGGACGAGAGTCGACAGCAACCTCAACAGGCTCGACCGGGTCTACCTGAGACACACCTGAGGGAGCGGCACCCTGAGGGGGGAGGGGGTCTACGACAGCAGCACCTGGCGCGAGGAAGAGAGGCGGGGGTGGGAGCGGGGCAGTGCGGTAGGGGAAGAGGCGGTAATAGGGGACAGACTCGTCAAAAGTGACGTCCTGAGAGGGCAAGACCCGGCGCGAGGTGGCGTGGTAAAACTGCCAACCAGGTGCGTCCGGAACAAAGCCGAGGAAGACGCATGGAACAGCACGAGAGGAGAGCTTGTCCGCAAACGAATCGCGGACAAAAGCTCGAGATCCCCAGACCCGGAAACGCGACGCATCGCCAACCTCCCCCGTCCACAGCAGCGTGGGCGAGGTCTCCGGCAAGGAGACACGGGGCCAGAGGTTGAGCTGATGCGCAGCATACCGGACTGCAAACGGCCACAGAAAGTGGGGGGCAGCCGCATGGATCAAGGAGGTACGAGCGACCTCCATGACCAGGCCAATGCGGCGCTCCGCAACCCCATTCTGCTGTGGAGAGGCCGGAAGCGTGAACGACTGCTCAATGCCGTGCTCAGCACAGTAGGCTGCCAAGAGGTCAGAGGAGAACTCACCACCTCTGTCAGAGTGCAAGCGCAGGACAGGAAAGTCCGAGCGGAAACGCTCGCTGAGCTGGAGACGAGCTCTGCGGATCCAAGGGATCAAAACATCAGGGACCTCACCCTTGGTGCGCAAGGGGAAGACCGTGGTGTAGCGCGAGTAGTCGTCAACAACGATCAGGAAGTACCTCTCCTGACCCTGACCACGGACGCGGGCTGGGCCCCACACGTCCATGTGGAGCGTCTGCAAAGGAGCAGTCGTCGGGGGAAACGAGGAGGAGTGAGGAGCGGCGCGCTGCCGCCCCTCGACACAGGGAAGACAGGGAGGAGCAGGCGAGGGTGGGAGGGGAGGGAGGACCCTGGGAAGACCAGAGACAAGGTACCGGGAGTGCATGGCACGAAGGCGCTGCACAGACGGGTGGCCCAGTCGGTGGTGCCAGAGGACAGTCTTGTGCGCTAGAGAGCGACACGAGCAAGGGGCGGACAGCTGACCTGACGCGGACGCAGACGCAGACGCAACTACCTGAGGGGGGGCAGTAGTCAGTGTGTACAGGTTCGACCCCGGCTGCCGGGTGAAGGTAGCCAAGTGGCGGCCTGTACGGGCACACGTGCATTGTGTGACACGCTCGTAGGCAGGGGTGAACTGGTGAACACCCGCGTCCTGTAGTGCACAACCTGCCACCAAGTTCGTAGAGAACGAGGGGAGGTGGAGACCTGACAGTGTGCCCGACGGGACCGCAGGACAGGGAAGGACAGTGGAGGAGGTCGCAAGGACCGGACCCCCAGAGGGGTCTGCAAGGGAGACAGCAACTGGCCGAGCAAGGGGCTCAAGGGCAGTGCGGTCACGAAAGAAACAGCGAGAGGCACCTGAATCCAGCGTGAAGGTGTGCAGTGCTGCAGTCGACACCGTACTAGGGGGGGCAGACACGCACGCACCTAGAGCAGCAGCCTCACCAGCACCTGGGGTAGTAGACACGTGAGTACCTGGAGCGGCAGACGCACTAGTCCTAATGCCCGGGTCGGGCGGGACACTCAGGTACTCAGAACCCTCTCCACTAGTAGACATCACATACATGGCAGAGAGAATAGCATCAAAGTCTAGAGCATAGATATCAATCCCCTTCTTCAGGAGATCAAGCCAGCGGGGCAGCTCAGTGGCCTGAGGGAACTGAACACGCCAAGCATCGCTGAGGCGAGCAAAGCAACGCTGTGTGGCGTGTGGTCCCCCACACGGCTGGCCAGTGCGGTCACCAGTGCGAATGACGTACTCGCAGCTAAGGCCACCCCCCCCCCCCCCGTGCTGAGAGTACCACTCACGGACCTCCTGGGGCGAGGGAGTGTGCTGCTGGCCCTGGCCACCGCCAGTGCCTCCACAACCACCACCGCCGCTACCACCTCCTCGACCACCCCAACCCCGGCCGCCGCCTCGTCCACCGCCACCCCCACTACCTCCTCCGCCCCGGCCACCTCCCCCGCCGCTGCCGCCACCCCCACCACTGCTGCCACCTCCCCCACCCGCGCCACCTCCCCCGCTACCACCTCCCCCACCACCGCCACCCCCGCTGTCACCACTACCGCCCTTGCCCCCCTTGCCCTTGCCGCTGCGGCGCCCGCTCGAAGCAGACGCAGTCCCGACCTTCTCAGCACCAAGGAGGTCAACAGCAGCAGCAGAGGCGACAGAGGGAAGAAGGGGGGAGGGAGAACACCCCTCAAAGAACGGGGTACGGGGGTCACCGCGAGAGGCACCTACAGCGACTATGCTAGTCTCGGCTGCAAGGAGTTCCTTCTCGAGGAGGGCAATGGTGAGCTCGGTGGGGCAGCGAGCGAGGAAGTGGTCCCTGACTGAGCGCAGCGAGTCAGGGAGGCGCGTGACTAGGTGGTAGAGAGTGAGCCAGAGCGGGGGTGGGTTCGTGGCAAGGAACTCATCAGGCATAGCGGCGCGGAAGCGAGCCTCACTAGTGAGGAGGTGGGTAATGAGATCAGCGACAGTGTGGAAGGAAGCTAAGTCGGGGAACAGGTAGGGAAGAGAGAGGCGGCCTAGAGCGGCAGAGGCCGGTGAGGAGTAGCGGGCAACGACAGCAGTGTACAGTGCTTGCGCAGTCTTGTGCTGCCCAAAGTGCTCGCGCTCATCTATCGGCAGAGAGTTGCGAATAGCGAAGCGAGCATGGGCGTCACGAGTCTGCCACTGAGAGCGAGCAGTGCTGTCAGCAGTAGCAGCAGGAGCAGTAGCGTGGCCTAAGGCGTGATCGTACAGCGAGATGTCTTCCTTGGCAGTGAGCTGTAGGAAGAGGTGTAGGTCATCAAGCCAGGTGTCGAACTTCACTGGGCGGCCCTCAGCATCGAAGGCTAGCACAGGAGGGCTAGCCATGGTAGCAGCAGTAGGAAAAGCAGTAGGAGCAGTAGGGTAGGTAGGGCGGCGCGGCTCGGTACAGGTAGGGCGGCGCGGCTCGGTATAGGTAGGGCGGTGCGGCTCGGGTCGGGCGGCGCGGCCCGGTTCGGGCGGCTCGGGTCGGGCGGCGCGACTCGGTTCGGGCGGCTCGGTTCCGTTAGGGCCGGGCTGTTCGGTGCGGGCGGCTCGTGCTGGTTGGGGCCGTTCGAGGCCGCTAAGGGCGAGCGCGGGGAGCGGGTGGGGGTAAGTGCGAGGCCGACGCGGGCTGATAGGGGTAGGGACAGGGGCCGACGCGGGCCGCTAGGGGTAGGGACGGGGCCGACGCGGGCCTCTAGGGGGAGGCGCGGGCCGTCGCAGGCCTCTAGGGGTAGGGACGGGGCCGACGCGGGCCTCTAGGGGGAGGCGTGGGGCCGTCGCGGGCCTCTAGGGGTAGGGACGGGGCCGTCGCGGGCCTCTAGGGGTAAGGCGCGGGGCCGTCGCGGGCCTCTAGGGGTAGGCTCGGGGCCGACGCGGGCCTCTAGGGTAGGCGCGGGGCCGACGCGGGCCTCTAGGGGTAAGTGCGGGGCCGACGCGGGCCTAGAGGGGACGAGCTCGGGGCCGGCGCGGGCCTCTAGGGTTAGGCGCGGGGCCGATTCGGGGCCTCTAGGTGCAAAAGCGTGGGGCCTACAGGGCCTCTAGGGGCGTGAACGCCGAGGCGCCCTAGGGTAGGTAGGCAGGTAGGCAGGTAGGTAGTGGTGGGCCCTTAGGAAAAACGGTCCTAGGAAGGACCTGCTCTATACCATGTTGAACAAGAATGAATTGAACTAACAGTGAAATGAGTACAAGTATGAAAACCTAGAAATGTGCACCCCCTATAGGCTAACCCACTGTAGCCTAAACAACTACAACATATATAATGTTTGACAGGGCTGGTATCCCGAAGTCGATGTGGCTCGTCAGGCGCAGACAACAGCCGACGGATGCCCAACGAGGCAAGTCGGGCCAATCGTCTGCGCACACCTGCGAGCGCGCGCACTGCTGTGTTCTACGGGGTACGCCGTCGACCTGCTTTGTTGGCAGGTCGCCCTTCTGCAGTGCTGGCGCGGCTCCTCTACGCAATGCTGGCAGGCGGTCGACCGAGCTGCGCTGGCGGTCGACCAGGCTAGCTGCAGGGTTGCTAGGTGCCTGATGTAGTCATTGTTGTCATTGCTTCTTGAATAATTCTGGAATTCCAACTTTGCTAGTGGAAAACTCTTACCAATTTCTCCCGTGAATGTGCAAGCACTAAGGAACCAAGCAAAGCTACGATCACCTCTAGTAGTTCGTGCCAACCCCCGTAGTCTAGCTCACTACCGTTGTAGAGTGAATCTCCGCACGCCCTGCGTCGCCTGTCCGTGCTGCTCGCACTAGTGGTCACGGTTCGCGTCAGCGTCCTCCTCCTGTCCCTGGCACGCACCGGATGTCTCTGCGTCCGTCCACTGCTCCCCTGTGTGCCCCTTTACCTTCTCCTCCTGAGTCTTCTGTTCCTGCTCTTGCCGACCCGGAGTCGGACTCTCTTCGTGTTGCCAGTCCTACTGTTACGCGTCGCCTTCCTACTGTTGTCACTGACCCTTCCTTTGAGTCCACTGCTGCGTCTGCCCTAGTTGCTGAGCTTGTCGACTTTGCTGCTCGCTGTCGCCTAGACTACGCCGCCAGTCTTGTTGCTGAGTCTGAGTCTGTCTGTCCTCCGTCCGTCAGGGGTGAGTGTGCCCTTGGCACGGACGTCCTTGAGGACAGGCAGGAGGAGTTCCAGTGCTTGGCCGCTGCTTCACCTCATCTCGTGTCCGTACTGCTTACCCCTGAGGGAGACCCGGATGCACTTGACATCCCGACTCCGCGCTCTTACGCGGAGGCGATAGAGGGTCCCTACTCCTCTCAGTGGCAGGAACCTATGGATGCAGAGATGGCTTCCTGGAAGTCCACAGGCACCTACGTTGACGACGTTCCCCCTCCTCGGGCGAACATCGTCACTGGCATGTGGATTTTCAGTGTGACGCGGCCGCCGGGTTTCCGCCTGTCTTCAAGGCGCGTTACGTGGCTCGTGGCTTCAGTCAGCGGCTGGGAGTTGACTACTTTCAGACCTTCTCTCCCACCCCGAAGATGACCACTCTTCGGGTACTGCTGCACGTAGCTGCTCACCGTGACTACGAGCTACACTCTCTTTACTTCAGCACTGCTTTCTTGCAGGGCAGCCTGCACGAGGAGATCTGGCTGCGCCGCCCACCTGGCTTCACTGGGACTTTTCCTCCTGGCACCCACTGGAGCCTCCGACGGCCAGTCTACGGTCTCCGCCAGGCACCGCGTGAGTGGCAGGACACACTAAGGACTACACTTGCGACTCTTGGGTTTGCTCCCTCTACTGCCGACCCGTCGCTGTTTCTGCGCACCGACACTTCTCTGCCGCCGTTCTACATCCTCGTGTACGTCGACGACTTGGTCTTTGCAACAGCTGACACTGCTGGACTCGCCCACGTGAAGTCCGAGCTGCAGAAGACACACGTGTACTGACCTGGGTGAACAGCGCAGCTACCTTGGCTTGCAGATCACCCGGGACAGAGCACGCCGCACCATTACCTTGACTCAGTCACACATGGTGCAGCAAGTCCTTCTGTTCGCTCGTCTTCTGTTCTCGGCTCCAGTTGTGAGGCTGAGATCTACGCAGGAGCCATGGCTGCTCAAGAGCTTCGCTGGCTCACCTACCTGTTGACTGACCTCGGAGAGCCGCCTCGTTCTCCTCCAGTGCTGTACGTAGACAACAAGGCCATGCTGGCCTTGTGTCGGGAGCAGCGACTGGAGCACAGAACGAAGCACATTGCTCTCCGCTACTTTCTTGCTCGTGAGCTGCAGCAGCGTGGTCAGCTGCATCTTGCGTACGTGGCCTCTGAGGCCAACACTGCTGATATCTTCACCAAGGCGCTTGCGCCTTGTGATCATCAGCGCTTCTGTACTCAGCTGGGTCTTGTGCCTGCCTTGCCTCACTTGCTCACCTCTTGACCTTGTTTGTACTGTTACATATATATATACACCTGCTCTTGCTTGTCTAGCCTTTATATATATATGTACTCCTACATGTGAACTGGCCTTGTGGCCTTGAACTTGTGCTCGGAATGTGTGGTGACTTTGTGATCCACCCTGAGCTTGCTTTGCTTTGCTTGAATGGTCTTGTGACCCCTTGTTCTCCCCCACTTTGCCTATGGGGTTGTGTCAGAACATCATAGCTTATGCATTTTGTGTAGGCTATAGTGGGGTAGCCCATAAGGGGAACAACCCAATTAGGGTTAGTACTTGTACCCAACTCTTTCATAGTTGATTCATTCTCGTTCTACTTCCCACTATGATCGGTGCTCGTTGAAAAGCTGTACTGAAAAACAAAAAAAAAGGGGAGTTGATGCACTGTTCTACTCCGACAAAAGCGGGCTGGGTGAAACATCACGCGCAAAAATCGGGGCGCCGCATGACAACAATGGTGCAGTTCACTGGTTTCTCCTGACCCGGGCGTCTACACGAGGTGACGACGCAACGGGAAAGCGGGGACCAGGATGCTGTGGAGTTTAGTGGTGTGACGGTTGCGGTGAGCTGCAAAACAGTTGGGCGACTGTTCCTTTTAATTAAGGGTCCCCGACCCCGATGGTTTTTGCCCCTCGACCGTGGCTGGGTTCGCGCGGGGAACACCGACTATACCCCATCTGAAAAAAGCGGACGCTGGGTGAACGGCAGGAAGCGGAATTGTCGGGGGGTGAAAATGTCAGATTATATTTAGCTGATGCATGTATTGTAGGCCGTAGTGGGGTAGCTCATATGGGGTACAGCTCTCTAGGGTTTGCATTTGTACCCAACTTTTCACTTAGTCATCTCATTCCTGTTCTGCAACTCTCACATGGTATAGAGCGGGTTCCCTGTGGGAACTTAACCTAGGGCCCACCGAAGCGCGCCCCGAGGCGCGCCAACTTTTTTTTTTCTCTCGCTCGAGCGACCCTCCGTGTCGCCCTTCCCTCGCGGCCCCGCCGCCCTCTCTGACGCGGCCCCGCCGCCCATTTCGAACGCGGCCCCGCCGCCCGCTCAGACGCGGCCCCGCCGCCTGCTTAGCCGCGGCCCCGCCGCCTGCTACAACGCGGCCCCGCCGCCTGCTTAGACGCGGCCCCGCCGCCTACTCACCCGCGGCCCCGCCGCTCGCTACGACGCGGCCTCACCGTCCCCTCTGCCGGCCCCGCAGCTGCACCTGACGGCCCTGCCGTCCCCTCTGCTGGCCCGCCGCTGCACCTGCCGGCCCGTCGCTGCACCTGACGGCCCCACCGCTGCACCTTACGGCCTCGCCGTTCCCTCTGACGGCCCCGCCGTCCCCTCTGCCGGCCCCGCAGCTGCACCTGACGGCCCCGCCGTCCCCTCTGCTGGCCCGCCACTGCACCTGACGGCCCACCGCAGCACCTGCCCGCCCCGCCGCTGCACCTGCCGGCCCGCCGCTGCACCTGACGGCCCCGCCGCTGCACCTGCCGGCCCGCCGCAGCACCTGACGGCCCCGCCGCTGCACCTGCCGGCCCGCCGCTGCACCTGACGGCCCCGCCACTGCACTGGCCGGCCCGCCGCTGCACCTGCCGGCCCGCAGCTGCACCTGACGGTCCCGCCGCTACACCTCCCGGCCCCGCCGCCCCAGCAGCCGAGCCGCCGTAGCAGTCGAGCCGCCCCCAGCAGCCGAGCCGCCCCAGCAGCCGAGCCGCCCCAGCAGCCGAGCCGCCCCAGCAGCCGTGCCGCCCGAGCCGCCCGAGCCGCCGTGTCGCCCGAGCCGCCCAGCAGTCGAGCCGCCGAGCCGCCCGAGCCGCCCGAGCCGCCCGAGCCCCCCCCTGCACTGCCCTGTCTGGTGAGCACTGAGCTTTACTCTGCGCACTGCCCTCTCTCTACTGCTGTCATGGCTACCCCCAGTGTCCTCGCCTTTGACGCTGAGGGCAGAGCCATCGACTTTGACG